TTCCCTACTCCTGCTGGCCACACTATTCCTGATACAAGCCAGGATGCCATTGGCCTTCCTGGCCACCTGGGCACACTGCTGGCTCATATTCAGCCAGCTGTCAACCAACAACCCCAGGTCTTTTTCCACCAGGCAGCTTTCCAGCCATTCTTCCTCAAGCCTGTAGTGTTGCAGGGGGTTGTTTTGTTGTAGTTGTGTTGTTGTTCATTTGATTTATCTGCTTCTGGCTCTGGGAGAAAGGCAGCAATTTTCACACAAATACCCCTTAAAAGGTGAGGCCTGCAGTTCCTTTGGGTTGAATTATACCCGAGCAAGAGCAAGTGGTACTCATGTCATTGCCAACCCTGTGATTTCTGCCAGCAGCAGGCAGCTGTGAAGTATGACACGTTCTCCTTAGGAGGCCTGACACTGGAAGTTGCCCAGTAAATATGTTGAATCAGTGTGTCTCCTGGGAGAGCTGGCCATTCCCACTCTTCAGTTTGCCACACCTACAGTTTCTTGTGTGCCAGTTGGCTTCTGCCCTCCTCAAGAAACAAGGCTTGCTAGCACCTTGAATTGCTCTAACACTCCACTCCTCAGTGTTGGATGGATTTTCCACCACAGCAGCTCACAGCCTAAGTTTCTGCTGGCAGAAGCCAGTGGAAGTGATTAATGAATCAGGCCTAGTGCGTGCAAAAATCAGATTCTAGAGACAAATGCTGTCACTTGCCCTTTCAGAAGAAAAGGCCTAGCAGCTTTGTCCACAATGTCCTTAACTGATAAATAAAAATGCCACATGCAAAAAATGCCATCTTTTAGAGCTGGGTGATAGGCTAAACTGCAGCCAGCTGGTATGTAAGCAATAAACAAACTGCCACTGTAAAATCTATTTGCTATATTCCTTGTCTGGATATCTAGTTGTATGCACTGTATATGGTAATACACCTCTGATTGCTTGATCCCGTGCACTACAGCTTTCTAGGCAACTGTCCAAACAAGTCAAGGCAGTATACCTTCTTCCTTCAGCAAAGTGGCTAGAAAACTACCCAGTGTACAGGAAAGGGAGAAAGATGAGATCAAGTTGGGCATATTTTCTGCTGTAAGCAGAGGTCTGCATGCTTTTAGGATATGTAAGAGCAATTGTAGACACTGTCGTTTTAAGGATTATGCAGGAAAAATCTGATGGAAATGAAGGCTTTTCAGCATAGAGAAGATTCAGATGATTACTATACCCTTTCTGAACTCCCAGGGAGTTTTTCTGAAGTCACTAGGGCCTGTTTTTAAACTTTAGGACTTATTTTAAAGCGATAAGTGGCAAGCGTCTTGTATGCGAGTCTGTTTGAATTTATGATGATTCAGATGTTAATTTCCAGACAGGAAGCTGCCTTTACAGTTCTGCTTTTGGGGCATGTCTGAAAGGGATCAGGTTTCCATTTCAGTTCAGATACAGCCAGAATCTCTCAGGAATGGTTTTTCCTAGATTATGGATCAGATAATGGAGAACTCCTGAGAAAAATATATTTCATGAGATTTCCACTGTTAATACAGTTGATCTTTGAATTTGGTGTCACTGAATTCAGACCCAGTATTAGACCTGACTTAACCTTGAAATGGGAGCTTACACCTAATGTAAACCTGGGACTACTAGGCCAGTTTTGTTTCAAATGATATAGTTTTCCCAAAGCATTATTTCTAATGAATGCTTTTCACTTTAGGAGTAAAATTTTAGTTTGAAAATTAAGAGTTTAAACTAGCTTCTTTCCATATTAGTGGGTATTATTGTTAACCACATGAGACATTCAGTATATATACACTGTGTAAAGTTGTCTGCAAATGTAATTTTGCTATATGATACATTACACCACTAACATCTATATTGGGGAGTACAAATGAAGCACAACTTAATATGTGTGTCATTCTAATGAAAAGAACAAGAATCATTTTACCAGAAAATTGGTTTCATCTGGATTTGTAATAGAATAGTAGTAAGTTCATTGAACTCAAGCATAGTTCCAGAATAATATTAGTGATATTTCAATAAAAAAAATTAATTCAAGGTCTTAGCAACAAAATAATTGCTGAGATTAAGGTACATGCATAGCTTGCTTATCTTTCTAGCATAACTGAGATGCCAGGTGCATGATTTCCTTGAAACTGTGCTTATGCTTTCAGCTTCTCTTAGAGAAACTTTAGAGAAATAAACTATATAAACGATTCATTATATGCTGTTCAATGAGGTTTTCATTCTCTCTGAACCCCCCCTTTTTTTTATATTTCCATTTTTGTATATACTGTTACATTCTAATGCTATGATGTGCACTATATGAAAGTGTTTAAGATAATCCTTTAGGGTCCTATTCGTAGAACAACTTATTTGGGCCATTTCCCCATAAATTTCACATTCTTATGTGCCAAAAAGTCACTTATACATTTGACAGAGTGACAGTAAGAAAACCCCACTATTTTGTAAGAGATTTGCCCGTGTTTCATTCTATTATAAACTTTTATCATATGCAGATAATGTTCACACTTGTTCAACTTATTCATCGGATTGTTGTCCCAGCATCCACTTAACCAGCTCATTTATCCCATTCAGAAAATCTTGGCTGAACTGTGTCTGCTTTACTCCTATAATATTTCACCTTGAGTTCCATAGTTTTTCTCTAATCTGTTCATCTATTTATTTTATATTTATAATGCCGATGCACTGTATGGCTCTCATGGCTAAGGTTTCTGGCTCAGGTATCTTGATTTTACTGAGAAGTGGCCTGAAAATTGCGTAGGAAAAACATAGAACCTGAAGCTAATTTCAAAAAGAAAACAAAACAGTGACTTCATCGGGTTTGGCTAGGTTTCAACAAAATGAGATTCAAAGAATAAAACTAGACAAAGGGCTAGACTTTCTTTGGTGTCATCATTTTTACTGGGAATTTTCTTGCCTTCTCTTTTGTGCTTTTTTCAGCGGAGTAATTGTTGGCAGGAGTCACAGGGTCTGATGCAACCTTCATATTTTGTGCATGAACATTGCCTACAAAGATACAGATTTCCCAGGTTAGCTTTGTTTTCAAAGGCTAAGAGTGCTCACTGCCAAAACTAAAATGATACATTTCATAAGAAGCCAGCCCTTGAATGCAGTAGTTTTTAATCATCTGTCACAAAAAGAATGGGAATATAGATATATGTATTTTTAACCTGCATGGTAGTCATGTCTGAAGCATCTTTTTCAGATCTGTCTAATATGTTCATAAGTCGTGTCATAAATACACTTCATTCCACTACAAGATCTGGATGTGATTATTTTGCCAACATTTTCATGTATTAGACCTCATAGATACGTCTTCAGCTCCTTATGTAGTGTATGAACTTACAAACGGCCTGGCTATGGTTCAGTGGATTGAGTGTAAGACAAAAGCTATTGATGAAATTAGGAAATCTGAGAAATCCTGAAATTAGTAGCAAAAATATTGAACAAACAAGAAAAACTGTGGAATATTGAGAAGGAAGATGGGATGACAGAATGAATTGATGTCTGAAATAGGTTAAAACCAAAAAGACACATGAACAGGATGAGGATTGGGGCCCATATATCATTGCCTGGCAGCGTGGCCTTGCCAACTTCCTGAACATGCTTCACCTTTGCCTACCTCTCCCAGATCTTGCCCCCTGCTTTTCTTTTTTGTTTTTTTAAACTCCCTCTCACTTTTCTGACCCACTCGAACGGAGTTAAGCTGGAGTTTACAAGTCCTCTTGTTGTCTTGATTACATTCCTTTCTGTGACTAGTTGTCTTTCTGTTTAGATTATAAACTCCTTTCGTTATACAAATATGTATTGTTCCCAGGAAAACAGGGATCTGAACTTGGTTGCCATCCAAATGCTGATATAATGCGTAAATGATAATAATTTCAGCCCTTTGATATCCCTTTGTGATGCTCTTTCTATGCTCCTGCTTTTGAACACAGCTCAAACATAAAGCAGGTGGAACTGGCATATGAATCGAGCTGCCAGGATCGCTTTGTGTTCTTTGAAGATGCCAAAACAGAATAGGGAAATGAGAATTCACTTGTGCTCAAGCAGCCAGGAAGCCAGTGGAAGGAAGGAGCTGCATTGTGTTGAATCAATGAGAAACATACAGTAACCACGGCTTGACATCCTGACATTGTGGTGTTTGTGTCTTGGCATTGCATCAACACTGAGTGATAATGAATTGTAACAACAGCCTGTCAAATCTCAGCCCGAGGCCATGGCTTTGCCTACTTTACAGATAGTTCTCTAATTCTTTGTCATGAAAATGTAGCTGTGCCTGGCTGAGTAACACTACTCCGAAATATTGCTTCTAACTTTATCTGAATCTAACTTCCACTTATTATTTTTATCCTTAGCTACTCCTCTATTTGCAACGGTGGAAGGGAACCATATGGTATCCATATGAACTCTGAAGTCCTCTCTGCTCTTTAGACTTGCTATTGTGGAAAATGAGAGGTGACAGATAAGTCAGAGGCAAATTCTGCTCTCATTTACACCAGTGCAAATTTGGTGAATTTCTCGGGAGCGACACTGCAGTAAATAAGGGTGGTTTCTGACAGTATTTGCTTGATGTTTTTAGAAGCTCTCACTTGTGGGATTTTGCAGAGGTAAAAATCTCAAAGAATTACAGTAACTGTAATTTCTCCTTGTCTTATTCCATCAGTTTATAGTTTAAAAAAAAATATTGCTCAAACTAAAATTATCCCAGGTTAAAAATGATACAAAATGTATTGGCATCATTCTGAGTTATTCTCACTGTAAGGTGTAGCACTAGGCAGAGTTGAAAAGCATTGCTGGGAATGCTCAGTGAACTACTCTGTGCTCTGTTGCAAAAATCCCATGTGTTGATCAGTAGAGAGAGTACCGATTTTAGAAGGTATTTTATGCAGACTACAAATAAACATTTCTAGGCTACTGTTTCCTATGGTGAAAAAAATCTAAGGCATTGACAGAGTATTAAGCTAATGCAGTGCCAACTCATTCAGATTCATATGAGCAAAATGGTGTCAAGACAACATTGTTGAGGTCATCGGACTGGAATTCAAACCTTTCTCATGTATGTTTTGATCTCCAATACTGTGTAATGCACTTACTATTTTGCTAACTTTTTTTCAGGGAAGGTTCAGTTCATTGATAAGGTTGAAGCTGTGTTCAGGATTAATATTGTTAACTAATACTTATTACTAAGTTCCATGAGTTCAGCTGACACATCACAATCTTTCAGTCTTATATCCAATGAAAACAAAACTTTGTTAAAATCAGCCTCACATCTGGCTTATATGTGCAGTTGGAATTCTTGGAAGAATATCCTTTCAGTCTGGCGAATGGGCTGTTTGACACTGGACATACTTTCAAATGAAGTCTTTAGTGAGAAGTTGTTTGACACGCTAACTCCTTTGTCAGTACTTTACCAAAGTTATTTTCGAATAAATCAGTATTCATCTCCATTCCTGTCACCATAGTTTAATATTAACATCATTGTTTGGGTGCAATGCTTTATGTAGAAAAAATATTTTAGAATATTTTATTTCCAACTGTTCTCATATTTGGTCTTTCAGCTGTATATGCTGAGGCTCTGTATGGGAGGAGATATGGAACTGTCTCATTAGAACTGGAACTATATAATCAATAGTTACCAATCTGAAGTGTATTTTATTTCAACAAAGCAAGCCTTACTGCTTAGGTGAAGGTGTTTTGTAATTAGACTAAAGGACTAAGCACTGAAAGTTCTGGTGTCTCCTCCTAATGATCTTATCCCCTTTCAGAGCAATACTGAACAATTAATTAGACAAATTTTTATTTCTTTATGTATAAGTAGCAATAATACCTCTTTCATTACCCAGACGTATGAATTGATGAATGAGTGCAGAGCGCTCAGAAATCCTTAAGCGGAAAAAGCTATTGAAAAGAGAAATATTAAATGTCAGACATCTCATTATAGTCACTTAAAATATATAGATTCCTTTAGAAGCTAATTCTTATTACAGAACCAGACTTCAAACGTACTACATAGTGTCATAAAAAGTAGCATTTTTAATTATCCTCTCATATCAGTTATGTTGTTATTACTGGAATATGCATGATGTTCTGTTACTTGCACTGCAAGCAATGGATTAACCTACATAAATTGTTTTAATACACACAGTAAAACTTGGCAATATGGTATATTTGTCATAGCAGATCAGTTCTTGAACCAAGTCTCCCTGAACAGATTCTGTGTAATTCATCAGATAAGTTTATTGCAAATGCAAAGTATTCTCTTCTTAAAAAAATATTTGCTTTGTCTTGTTTTTAGGACTGCCCTTCAGATGTTGGTGACTTTAGAGCACAACAGTGTTCAGCCTACAATGATGTCAAATACCAGGGACATTTTTATGAGTGGATCCCTGTGTATAATGATCCTACTGCACCGTGTGCCCTGAAATGTCAAGCTCTGGGAAAGAACTTGATTGTGGAGCTTGCCCCAAAAGTACTAGATGGTACTCGTTGCAATATCGAATCCTTGGATATGTGCATCAGTGGAATATGCCAGGTATGTTCATGGTGTAAATCTAATTGTGACCTCTGTTGTGAGACACTTTGCACATTGAGTGGTTTTTGATTATTTTTCGCCTTCATGTATCAGTTTACTTTCGACGTATCTGCAAGTACTGCCAAGTGGATTGTAGATAACTTACCTTTCTCTTGCACACAGAATTTCCTGACTGCCTTAGCCATTGATATTTTTATGTATAAATAAAAGGTCAATAACATTTACTCACTCTTCTATTTATACATGTAAAAATTAATGACACTGGTTATACTAGTTACAGCTTTCTAACCTTTAGTATGTCTGTTAGAGTGTAATGAAATTACATACCCTTCCATTTCATTTTACTCCTCCTCTGAGTCTTGCATCTCATGGAGAAAACTTGATGTTTTATGTGATCCAGCCTAGAATGGCAGGTGTGAGTGTGTATATCTGTCTTGTTGTATGGGTGATGAGCATATGCTGTGATTGAATTAATTGATTGTTAGTATCTTTTGACTGGGAATCTACGTTTCTAGATATATATATTATTATTATTTATTAGTTATGCTATCGACTTTACACAGTTGGTAAAGCTTGCCAGCTTTGCCCATGTTTCATTAGCAGAGAAATATTGCAATCTTAAGTTTTATGAACAGAACAATTTTATACAGAATGGATATGTTATTGCAATTAGTTTCCTCTCTCTGCAAGTGGTTGTTGCTCTGTTAAATGCCTAAAATGTGTGTGACTCAAAAATGCAGGATATGGCCCAGTAAGTAAAATAGCTCCATTATAGGGGAAAATTTGACACATTTGGCAGAAGACTGGTGCACGGATTACAGCAACATTTAATGTATGATCTGGACCTTGCTGTGGGTTTTATGTGACTTCTATGTATACTGCAGTTCCAATACCAGTCATGCCAACACACAGTGCATCTGCTGCCTCTGAAATAGAAGAAGAATTCCTTACAGTTTTCCACTTCAAGAGACCGCATTTGTCAATAGTTTGTCGCAGTGGTATCCGACAGTGTTCATTGCCCTGCACATTTAAAATAGGATATACCTCTATAAATTCTGGAAGCACTTGCCAAATAATACATTTATTTTGCAATATTCTTAGTGATGACTCCTCTTCTAATACAAGCTTTCACCCTGGAAGATGTCAAAGCCTTTAGTAGGTGGTACGTCGACAGCAGCCTTTGCTGGTTGTGCCCATTGCAGCACAGAAGTGTCATGCGGAACGTAATGGAGCTCTGGGTTATTCAGAGGCTTGTGAGTCTCTTGCTCAGAGTGCTGTGGGGTTTCCCGTGTTTCCCCGTGACCTCAAACATCTGCCACCTTTAATACAGAGCATAAAATTCACTGTGTCTAGACTGGACACAGTTTTGTGAAGAACAGTTGAAAAATATATTTAAAAGGGCTGCCTTCAATGTTTCTTGTTAGTATTTTGCAGTATTCATATGTATATCTGACAACAAATGCTTGGAAATTTAAATTATCAATTTTTAAAATAAACCTGGTAGTGGTGGAAGAAATTAATCATTCCAGAAGCAGGCACTGGAGCTCTTTTACACTGTTAATGAGAGTTGATTGATTTTCTCCATCTCTTCCACTTTTTCTTTTTTCCCTTGTTTCTTCTAATTCCACAAAAAATCAGTGTGAGAGAACATCTTCAGGGAAAAAAAAAACCAAACCACCACCATTTTTAGGATGTGTCCTGTGGTGTGATTTACACAATTCAATTAATTTTTAACTTAACCTTATAAGCTATTAGGTGCTTTTACTTTATTGCCTTTAAGTCACTAGCTATTAGTGAGGCATTTCTGCACAACTGGAAAATTTCTCCTTTTTAAAGTCTATATTTGATAATTTAGTGTTGCATAATATTATTGAGGTAAAAATGTGTCTCTGACCATTTGAATAACCTTTTTCTCTTTGCGGACCGTTTTGGGGGCAGAGTGGAAAGGTTGGTTACTTGTGAAAGGGACTGTGGGAGGTGGGAGACTTCCTCAGAAACCGACAGCGAGCTTTGTTGCTACTCCTGTTCAAGCAGGAAAAGAAAACAAATTGACATCTAATCTTTCCTGGAAAAATATGGTTATTTAGTCAACTGCTGTTAAGAGAGAGACAGCAAAATTGTGATTCTCTACAATTGTTGCTATAAGATCAGTCTGTTGGGTTCTGACATATACTTGGCACAGCCTGCAAATAGCTCGGCCAGTGTTTTTACAGCTAACTCATCTAAATAAGCATGTCATACTGCTGATGTGGGTATCTCTGCTTTTGTGCCTGCAAGCACCAAAGAGTTAGTATAAGGAGACTGGCTTGCCTGAGTCCCTTTCCAACTGGTGCTGGTTTTGCTCATTTATTGTCTCAAAGTCGGCAGGTTTTAGAAGATCTCAGCTTCCCCTTCTCCCACCTCCAACAGGATTTCACTGTCATCTGTTTTCTTATTCTCTGTAAGGTAGGGCTGCATCCCTAATTCTGCCTCTTGGATTCTTGTTCAGATGCTCTCCTTGACAGCATATGAATTTACAAGGATGGTGAGTTCCTGTTGTCCAGCTTCAGTTCCGATTCTTTGCACTTCCCTTAACAAGCAGAATCAAACTAAATAATGCTCTGTCAAAGAAAATCATGAGACTACAACACTGCTCTCTGGACAGGAGGTTTGAGGCTTCAGGGGAAGTAAAATCTAAAGGCAGTGAAGCAGGGAGAAGTTTATTGGGAAAGATAATAAAGTATTTTGGGGTTGCTTGAGGCTTAACTCAGCCAAACCATTTGATCATGTTTTAGTCTGCTACTGCCATGCTTCTGTTACCAAAGCAAGTATCTGGGGCTGCTGTGTTAAATGGGGACAGGTCAAAACTTCACTGCCAGGAGGATTTTCACACTCAACTTCTGATATTTTTTCTAGTCTCTGCACAACTCCCTAAAAACATCTGCATGTCAGATACATGTGTGGGCAACATGTACCCAGTTACTCCGCCTGCTTTGGGGCCCTGCCTCTCCTTGTTTTTTGTTTTTAATTCATGCAGACCTGCTTTTTTCCTACCAGAATGCAGAATGAGTGTTGTGTCCGTACCTGAAATGGTTACAGTGATAATTTTCCTAATATGGAGTAATGTGTTTAGACAATAAATACACGCATCACCCAAAAAAATCTGGAGTCCTAAGGAGCAGCCTGAGTAGTTCTGTCCTAGGCTGTCACAATTAGGTCAAAGATGATGTAAATCCTGTGGTGAACTTTCCATTTAGTGTCAGCAAGTTGTTTGTGTTCCAAAAAAGGCAGACACTACACTATGCTTTGTAGCATATGGCATAAATTTAGCTGACATCAGAACACATCCCATATGTCAAGTAGAGTGCCATCAGCTCCTGCCATGCTAGTTCTTTTCTGTCACATGTCATGATATGGTAAGTAGGTATTTCTCTCTCTTGCCACTAAAGCACTCTTACACTTGATGTAAATATCTGTCAGGAGTTTTCACTGAAAACATTTTCTGTAAGGTTTTGGAAGACTATTGCACTTTTTTTTTTTTTTTAATGAGCTTTGCTCATGCTTAAAACTTGAAATCATAGCAGATTATTAATTTCTTCTGAACCTTGACTCCTTTTATTCTGAGAGTTACTTTCTCAAAGTGCTAATTGAAAGCATTTTGTGTACTTTCCCTTTGGGTTCCTGTAGATACATCTTTTTGCCTGTATATGTGTTAAAGAACTGCCCAACATGCACAGGAGGTTTAGTCTTCAGATATTTAGAAAGGAATGTTTCCTTTCCAGCCTGCGTTACTGGAGACATAAAGCTGTGTTTCTCACACATGTTAGAGTAGTTAATTCCTGAATAGCAGTTAAAAAAGAATATATTTTTTTTCAAAATGAAGATTTACAATCTTTTTTTAATATTTAAAAATAAGAAAAAAATGTCCACGTTGCCTTTTCCTCCTTTTTAGTCTTCAAACCTCAAGTAACTTATTAATGGGAAGAATCGGTTTTGATGTAGTCCTGCGTTAAGAAGTCAGCCTTTATACTGAACCTGGAAAACTTTCCTGGCTACAATTAATTAGCAAACCCATGGAGTAAAGTACATTTTGGAGCATGGAGGAATCCATGTATAGAGACCTGTACTCTCCCTACGTATTACTGCAGGCACCAGAGTTGGCAGTCTGGACCTTATCCAGAGAGACTATGGGAGTTACTCATGTAGATCCAACAAAACTTTCTGGCTCTGTGTCAAAATCTTCATCTGACCACGCGTACATGTGACATATGTCATAAAACTGAAGAGAGTGGGGAGCTCCAGCTGCAATTCAGCTGGGAAAAGTTGGTGGCTCTCCAGAGGTCCCACTGAAGGATAGGGCTGTGCTGAGCACGGGTTACTACATCCTGTGTCACCTGCCAGCATCAGCCTCCGTAGCCTCAGTGAGTTGGCTTCCTCACCCAATGGAGGCTCTCGGCACTGCCCAAGCCAGCAGATCATGTAGCCACCCTCCAAGGGCTACATCTGCACCACTTCTAATGTCATGGTCCACCTCAGTATAGTGGTTCCCTTGCAATGACGTTGTTGGCAACTCAGAGGTGTGATTTTACTGCAGGTAATAATAGGATATTCTCAGACACTGAAAAGGTCTTTTGGAATCACTTGCTTTTACTTTGCAGCTGCTTACTGCTGCTAGAAATGGATGTCTCTTTTCAGATCTTGTCTTATTCTTCCCCCTACTGTTGTTTTACAGAGAAATACCCCCTGTGGGGATTTCTTACTGTCTAAGTTTATCCTTTCTTGTCAGATAAGTAGTGGATTTTGTTCTGATCTCTAGTTTCTTATCTATATTTCCTTTTTCCTAAGTTATTCTCTCTGCCACATTTTGTTTTGTTTTAGTGAGATTTGTACAAATATGATTTTACTTCCCAGCCTAGCAAGGTCCTAAAAGCATGTGAACAGTGATAGTAGGAAAATTCACGATTTGGGTGTCATCTTGAACTAGAGCCTTAGTAACCTTCAAATCCCCCTGTGCTAACTTC